CACAGGATTCGGAGGATTGGCTACGTAGCAACGTATCTGTTGATATATGGATATACGCTTGTTTGGCCTTAGTCGCATAAGGAAATAAATCAATGGAGACGTAAAGTTCTTGATTAACATGGAGTCCGTGCATGAGGGAAACAATCCTGGTTGCCGATGTGGTGAAGACGCAAGCCGCGCATGCATATGTACACGTCACCAGATTCTCGGATTATTTGGTCAGACATGCAAGGAAGTAGCACGAGGGTTGCATAGCCAAATACAGGAAATTTGGGATGAGTGCAACGTCCAGGTGCACATCGACCATGAAGGAAACAAGGACACATATCATGTACGTGTCATGTGCATGCGTATACATGCATGGCCGGCCAGGTGTCATATTCATATACGTGCTCGGCGAGATAATGTGTCTACAACTCTTGCCGATTGAACCAGACACGCGTCAGTAAAGAAAGCTTCAACAGCAAGGATTTTATAGAAGGGCCGGAAAGCCAGAGTCCATGTATCTTAGTATTTCATTTTATTTAGATATTTCTTTTGAGCCAAGTTTTGTATGTCATTAGCCTAGAGTATAAATATAAACCTCCGGCCATTGTATCAAGGAGATCCAATCAACCAATACAAATTACTTTCTTTTTTGGCTCCGTGCCAACCCTTAGGAGTAGGAGTAGAGTAGATTCCATCGAGTTCTTCAACAAGAAGGGCTGCATCGGTCCGGTCGATCTCCGGCTTGTCTGTAAGTACCGTCATGACTTATACTTATGTTTGTACGGCTGCATCGGTTAGGCTAGTTATCGATCTTATCTAGTTCAAGTCCGGTCGACCTCCACTGCTCGAATTAGATTAAGGTCAAGTTATCGGCTCTACCTAGGGGTGACGTCCTTTAGGTAGATTCATTAAGTTACCGATCTTGCTGATGTTCTTATTGTTATTAGTTTTTCAGCAACATCAACATGCCCGATCGAGATCGATCTAGATCGGCCTCACATACTTTTAACCCCTCGTTTATTTTATTACATTGCAATGGTCCTTACTTTAAACGACAGGTTACGTTTTATTGGCTGTTCTACTTCGATCTTGATTGTGCATAGTACGCGGTCATTGCAAGTCTGATCTTGAGAAGGTTTACTAGTTAGTTAAATCTGATCTATAGCCCACTATCACGGCTGCATCGATCCGGTCGACCTCCACTATTAGTACTCTAGATCGGAGGATGCTAGCTGGTAGGTTTGCTTTTGACCAGGCATGCCCCTGGCTGTTTGCTATGCCTGCATCGGCTAAATAGCCGATCGCCCGTATTTCAACGTTCATAGTGTGTTTTTATGATCCTATTAAATATGAGTAGATCCGTTTTTTTTAAAGATAGAATCTGTTATCTTTATTATGGCTGTATCGATCTGGTCAAACCCCACTGTTAAAGATGATAGGTTAGATTTGAGGAGTTGATAGGTTTGCTCGTGTTGAATAGTCTATTGTTCACATGCTATGATCTTTTTTTCTACCCGAATCGGCTCTTTTAGCCGATTCGTCCGCGCTTTTACAAATATGACACACTTTTATGAACCTGTTGAAGTATGGTCGATTCTATGAATTCTTTGGATTTAGTTTGTTGTTATCATCATAGCTGCATTGATTAGGTCTAGATGGTTTGTGGGTCTGTCTGTATAAAACAGTTGATTGCGTGCGTGGCATATCCTTTTTTTTTATTAAATTCATTGGCTCTACACTATGTATTGATCGAATCTAATTTAGCCAGTGATGTATCTCTGACACATACATGTTAATAGCTCAAGGGAAAGAATCATTAAAATTGGGTACATCGCAATTGTCATTATAAAATCAGTCAGAACCCAAGAGCGCTATAGTTCTTAATAGCCGATTTTCTTCTCGTATAGGTTTATTTGATCGATTTCCCCGTTTGGCTGTCAGTCCATTGGATCACCGAGCACTCACCAGCGTTGTCGATCACTACTGACGTTGTCCGACCACGCACCATGACTAGAGGTAAAATAACGATGGTTCGTGGTCGGCATCACTAGCGCATGCTCGGCAACATTAGTGAGTGGTCGGATATCTCCGTGATCGAGTGGGCTAACACTGGCTGCTCCCGAAGCGGCACACTTGGAACTATCGGGGCAAAGACCAGCATGTTCCACCTTAAATTACTGATAAACTTTCTCTCCTTGTCAATTGCAGGTCAAATTGACAGGCACGCCTTGGGAGGAATTCGCAGGGTCGACTGATCCCGCGTTGAAGCCAAGCGGATCTCCAGCCTTGCTCCGTCAAGCAGATCCTTCTGGCTTGCTGTGTGTCGATGCATTTTCGTGCCGACAACCGCAGCATGGGAGCTATGGCCACGACACCAGGACCGGTGCGGTTGCTGCCGATGACCCCTATGCGCCAGGCCAAAACCTGGCGGTTGGGGAGAAGCAACGCTCCATCTTGTGCCTACTGTCGCCATCCAAGCGTGCATGCTGCTGACCCCGCGCACGAAGCACCGCCTGCACGAGGTGGCCACAAGCCAGAGGTGGGGGAGAAGCGCCGCACCTCGCGCCTGCTACCACCATCCCCAGGGCGCATGCCGCCAACCCTGTGCGCGAAGCACCCGCCCGCACAAGGTGGCCGCAAGCCGAAGGTCGGGGAGAAGCATTGCGCCTCCAAGCTCGGCATCGCCGCACGCGGTGGATCCAGGTAGGAGGAGGCCTGATCCGACACTAGGGGCCCGGATCTGCCCCGTTGACCGGCCAACTCGCCGGAGGAGCTAGGTGAAGGGGTAGGGGTGGAGGAGGGAGAGGGACAGGGGAGGGGCAGGCTGTAACGGGGACCGGTTGTGCGGGCCGCCAACACCGCACCCCGTAGGACGGTGGCGGCGGCCAGAGAGGAGGCGGTGGGGGTTGCTAGGGCGCTGGTGGCTGGGAGCCCCCAAGCCTCCCGTTGGGAGGGCACGGAGGGAGCTGTCTCCGACTTCAAAACCGCTGCGTCCTAGCGCTAAGGACCTTCGAAAAGGAACATATTATGATTTTCTGTTATAACATATGAAAATTAACAAATATAGAGTTCTACTAAATTAGTTTCTGATGCTAATTTATATATACTTAGCACTTTTAAACTAAAAATTTTAAAAGTTTTTGTAGTCAAAATTTCAAAAATTTGAACTCAACCTTGCCCAAAAATAACAAGAATTATCGAATAGATCGGACAAGGGCAGTAAGTAGCTAGCATAATGAAGCATTAATTCCTTTCAAGATGACTTGACGAATGCACCCTATGCGAGAAGAGGCCTTGTTTTCATATAGTCGAATTCACATCAATCCACGTGTGTTGAGGTGGGTTAGAGTAGAACTTGAATTAAATTCCACATAACACATGTGGATTGAACTAAATAACATTCAAACAAGACCTAAGCGATTGACTGTCTTAAACCCATTGCATCGGTAACTAGTACTCCCTCTGCGGCACAGCAACTGATGGAAGAGTTGAGCACTCGTCTTGTTTTCATTCAGATGGAGAGTGTTTTCGTTGAAAATAGAAGAAGATTGCCACAATTCTGCATTACATTGGTTCTGTTATGTGATTCTGTCATAGTACTTCCGCAACAGTTTTTTTTGAAAGCTTCAATGGGGGGTTAATCCCCCTGATTTTATTGATTGTAGCTCATCTTACATGATTACAAGAGATTTGTACAGAAGGTTTTCGCAAGCGTAGAAAACATAGATTACATTGGATCTGAGTTCACGGAAAAATCCTTCCGCAACGGTTTACTTAGCACAAGGATTTTTTTATTTCTTTATTTGTTTATTTATTAAAGAAAAAAAGAGCTAGTACTTTGTGTTGAAATATAAGTGAATTTCCCGCCTCTCCCCATCAGCTAAGCTTTTGGGTTGAACTGGTCGGTGCATGCAACTTAATATGGTATCAAAGCCAGAGATCTCGAGTTCGAATTCTGGTCAGCGCAATTAAAATGAAATAATTGCTGCTCGCTCCTATTCCACGTCTGAGGCCTGAGGGAGCCTCCACGTGAGGGGGAGTGTTGGAATATAAGTGAATTGCCCATCTTTCCCCGTTAGTTAAGCTTTTGAGTTGAACTGATCGGTGCATGCAACTTAATACTTTGGTAACCCCTATAGTTGCTATTGTATTTTATATGGAGTAATTTGTGGCAAAGCAAAGGATCATGGAAATGAGACAGCCTTGGAAACGAATGTCCTTACGTATGTTTCCACCGCCGTATGCATCTGGACATACATACATGTGCCTACCCTGAATAATGCACCTCTGAATGGATCAAGTCTAGGAGTGCGAAGTAGAACAGCCCTTGCCTTGTGCAAGCGGCAGCCAGCAGTGCGGACCTGCACTATCGTGGATTCCATGGATCAGGAGAAACCGAGGATGAGCTGATGGCCACCGAATCGAAAGCTGAGATATTCTCGCAGCTGTGATGCGACTCGTAAACTCCGTACGAACAGTTACATCGACAGCTTCTTGTTTGTACGGTCGTCGCGTCGTCTTCTTCCCGCAACAAACTTGCAAACAATTCGGAAAGTGCAAGCTGCATATATGAAAATGTAAGTTTATAACTTGCAGCCAAAAGAGCTGGCGTCCTCAGAGATCTCTCACTCGCGCAAAGGGCGCAACAACGCACGTTGTGTAGCAGTGCAGGCGTATCCGGGAGTTGGCTGCCTGGAGAAACCATCATTCATCTGAACTCCGAATGAATCGTTGAGCTGAGGCAAGACTTTAGTAATGAGCTTGGAGCCTTGGACGATAAACCCTAAACAGCTGGAGGAAGAGGAATTAATTAATCTGGATTGATATCATGCATGATGCATCGTCTTCGATCGCTACTCCAACTAACCAGGGGAATGGGATGCATATATAAGTAGGGGAGGCCTGATCGCTACTCATCAGTCATCACTCACATCATCACCTTTCTTTCACAGTTTCAGTCACTGTCAGTAGCTACCACCACTTCAGCACCTTTTCCCAAGACAGCAAGAAGAATGGCGGCGCTCAAGCTCAACAACTGCATGACGACGAGCTCCTCCTTGGTGCTTGTCCTGCTCGCGCTCTGGGCCACCCCGCTGGCCGTCGTGGCCGGCGACTCAGACATCCTGACCGACTACATCATCCCGGCGACCACCAACGCAGCGAACATCACGGGCGCGTTCTTCACCTACTCCGGCCTCCGCGGCGCGCTGGCCTTGCAGGCCCCGGAGAACTTCACGGCGGCCAAGGCCTCCATGGCGGAGTTCCCGGCGCTCAAATTTTTTTGCTAGAAGTTCCTCAATGACAATAAATCCCTACCAGAGCCAAATACATGTTCATTGACATATAATAAAGCCACTATAAAAGCTGCTCGTTTGTTTTGAGCTTTTTCAAGCCTTGTTTATTTAAATAGAGAAACTTGTCAAGCTTCTTGATCAAGGGCACGTACACCCACACACTTATGCTATTCCTACATTGGGAATACGCATCCACATGCTTTCCATATAGTATTGCTCTATGAGAATCAAAGTTACCTCTCTAGCTATCTTTTATCAAAAGAGAGGCATGGACTACGAAAAGAGAGAGAGAGAGAGAGAATAAAGAGCAAAGAGCTCTAGTGCTAAAAAAAGAGAGAGAGAGAAAGAAAAGTAGCCATGCCCTTTCAAAAAAAAGAAGCTAGAAGAGGGAAACTTCCTAAAGGAGTACCACTTCCACCAAATATACCATACACATGCACATCTTCATCAATTAGTATGATTTGTTGCTCCTTGTGATCCAAGTGTTTGACTTAGCAATATATTTAATTCAAGTAGGCTATGCTTTTACTCCCTACCTTAACCTTCACATAAACTTTAGGATAGATGTTAAGGCTAAGATCCATGTCCTTGGTGAGGTTTCAAACACTGTTGAGAGACTTGAGGGAACCATCTGAGGAACTTAGGCAAGTTTTCTTTTCAAATCTATTGAAAACCTCCAGGAACTTTGAGCTAAACTAAAGTAGGGAAAAAGTATCTATCTAATTACATCATCTTACAATCGCTTGTGTTAAGGTGAAAGCTATAAGTCCCACATTACGAAGACTGATGATGGATTTCTAAATGCTAACATGTTCAATCCAAGAGAGAGTATTTGTTTGTATATAAGTTTTTGTAGGACGTTACATAGTAGCAACTCCTGATCCAACACCTATACCATGCTAAAACCGCATCTTTGCTCAGGACGAGCAAAGGGGTAGCTTGGGGGAGCTTGTTGACGATCACTAACACCCATTTTGACCATCAACATTTCACCCAAAAGCTAAGCAAAAGTGAGATAAATCATCATCACATGTGTTGATTTTGCTTTATAATTCATCTAGTTACACTTGTACTTGTAGAACTATTTGTATACAGGATTTTTAGCAAAAATGATGAAAAATATCCACATAGGAGGCAAGTGGACGTGGCAGGGGGCCGTGGGCCCACATGCCACATCGGCCGGCACCACCTAGGCACCGGTCGACGCCTCACTGATCCAATGTTGGTTTGATCCAAAGGTGGAGATGAAGTGGTCTTGGATCCATGGGTCCACCATGATAGACTTGGAGCCCTCCAACCGACCTTGGAACGGCCTTTCTCTCCAAAACTTGGCACTTGCTGTCTTAGTAACCGGCATTGAGGAGCAACCAAGGCGCTATGATCAAGAGGTGGTGGATCCAAGGGCCGACCGACGCCCCTAGGCGTCGCCCGACCACCCTTGGCTACCTACAAGTACCCCCACCCTCTCTAATCACTATAAAAGGAGGCGTGGAGCTCTGTGGAGAAGTACCCCATACACATTCAAGCATTCTAAGCTTCTCCAAGCTCTCTAGTTTAGAGTTTCTATAGAGTAGTAGCTTAGTAGTGAAAGTAGAGCTAGAGCGAGCGGAGCTGTCCTCGGAGTCCGGAAGAGTCTTCTGGGTCTGGTATAGCTCTTTTATAAATCTTTCATTTAGCATTTACTTTATTCAGTACTTTACTTTCAGTACTTTATTTAGTATTATTGCTTTGCTTTGGTCAAGTACTTGTTCATTATTGTTCATCATTAGTGAGCTTTGGTGCTTGTGTCTCGGCATTAGTATCATAGGTTATCTTTTGTTTAGTAGTGTTTCGTTAGTACCGGTTCCACCGTCTGGTTAGGGTGCTTTGATCTCATTTCATCAGAGCTCGGATCGAAGTAGTAAGTTTATAGATTAAGCGAGGTGCTTAGGCTATAAATTATCTGTGGATATGACTAGGCCTCCAGATAGATTGTGGTAGTTGGCAAGTGGTGACAGCCTTGTCCATCCTCTATATTCCATCATGTTAGGTCTAGTTATTAAATCGTAGAGTTCGTGGTAGACCTTGTCTATTTAACTCTCCTATATGGTAGGTGGGCTGTGCCCCAAAGTACTAGGGCATTTCTCCTAGTCATTTGTTTACCCTTTATTACTTAAGATAAATTGCTCGCTCTCCCACCTAGCTATCCTACCTCTAGTTTAGCTTGTTTATTAGTTTCATTAGTTCAATTACAACCACTATTATCGTTCAACCACTTAGGATAAGATCAAGCTTTTCCTTAGCAACCCTAACAATCAAAATAAACTAGCCTCCCGTCTTCCTTTGGGAAAATATAAATTTGACACTCGGTACTCACCAAGCGAAGTGATACGCGATAGTTCCGTGTGCTTGCGGAATCCCTCCACTAGTCGTTAAGAAATATCAACACCAAAGACTATGAACAAGAATATGCACGCTTGTTCGGCCAGTTGGGAAGTTTCCCTTTCCAATACCTAGGTATTCCAATGAACCATATAAAATTATCCAACAAGGATTGGGCTTGCATTGAGCAGAAATTCTAGAAAAAAACTCTGTAGTTGGAAAGGTAAACTCTCAGTTGGGGGACGACTGGTCCTCGTTAACATGTTTATGTTATCGTTTTTTGAACTCGCTAGAGGAGTAGATTACTATCACTCATGTTTTTTCTGGCAATATGACGAGCATAAAAGAAATATAGTCTTGCGAAGTGGAGTATTCTTTGCACACCAAAACATTTTGGTGGCCTAGGAATACTTAATCTAGACCTACAGAATAGATGTTTATTGAACAAGTGGTTGTTTAGGTTGATTAATGAGGATGGGGTATGGCAAAACCTTTTAAGAAGGAAATATCCGTCGAATAAACCTCTAACTCAAGTGCATCATAGGCCTGGGGATTCATATTCCGGACTCATGAAGGCAAATTATGTTTTTTTTTACCTTGTGGCACTTTTAAGGTGTAGTGTGGGGAACAAGTGCACTTTTGGAAGGATGTGTGGTTAGGAGATAAACCTCTTAGTAAGGTTTATCCTACCCTATTTTGAATTGCGAGGCACAAAGATGATACAATGGCGAATTTCCTTGGTTCTGTACAACTCAACATGTCCTTTAGACGAGCTCTGGTTAATGCGAACCGAATGGCTCGGTTTGACTTTGTGTCAAAGGTAATATAAGTACCTCACAAATGAGAAGGATGTTTTCCGATGGAACCTTACTAAGAATGGTTTGTTCACAGTCCGATCCTTGTACTCAGCTTTCATCCAAGAGGGTGTTCCTCCTCGTAAAATCCCTCTTTGGAAATTAAAAGTATCACTTATTATTAAGATTTTATGTGGTATTTAAAAAAGGGGAAATCCGCATGAAAGATAACATAGCAAAGAGGAATTGGCTGGAAAGTGTTCAATGTTGTCTCTGTGGTTCGGTCGAAACCATTCAACATTTATTCTTTGACTGCCACTTTGCACGCTTTGTTTCTGTGCATATCACCTTTGGAATTCAACCACCTTCCAACTTAGCCTAAAGCTTATAAAAACCAAATTTTACCAGGAGGTGCTGCGCTTTGATGGTCGATATGTTTGAATAGGAACGATATGGTATTTAAGAAAGCTAAATCTAACACATCAATGCAGGTAATTTTCAGGACAACATTATTGTATCCGTAGGAGCGACCACTGTTTAAGGATGGATGCAGATGGTGGGAGACTATGACCATAGCTGTCTTTGCGAAGTTTTGCTGGAGCTTTTCGCGTCGTATTGAGGCTGAGTTTCTCTTTTTTTTTTCTTGTTGCGCCCACTACGTGGGCTGAACCTTGCTTTTGTTTCCTCATGCGTTTGTAAGCCTTATGGCTTTGGTTTGTACTGTGATTATCAGCTGTGTACCATTCCCGTAGAGGCTGGAATCTTGTTCCATTATTAAAAAAAGAAAAAAGAGCTACGTTTCGTAACCCCTATAGTTGCTATTATATGGGGTAATTTCTGGCAAAGCAAAGGATCATGGAAATGAGACAGCCTTGGAGACGAATGTCATTACGTTTCCAGCGCCGTATGCATCTGGACATACATGTGCCTACCCTGAATGCACCTAGCTCTGAATGGATCACGTTAGGAGTGCGAAGAAGTAGAACAGCCTTGCCTTGTGCAAGCTGCAGGGCGGACCTGCACTGCACTATTGTGAATTCCATTAATTCCTAGTCTCCATCGATCTCAACTGAGTTGTGCATGCAACTCGTATACTCCGTACCAGCAGTTACATTGACAGCTGCTTCTTTGTACGGTCGCGTCTTCTTCTTCTGGCTACTAACTTGCAAACAATTCTGAAAAGTGCAAGCTGCATACGTATATGATAATGTAAGTTTATAACTTGCGGCCAAAAGAGCTGGCGTCCTCAAGGGCGCAACAACGCACGTTGTTGTGTAGCCGTGCAGGCGAATCCGGGAATTGGCTGCCTGGAGAAACCATCATTCTGAACTCTGAATATCCATTCAGCTGATCAAGGCAAGACTTTTGTAATCGGCTTGGACGATAATGCCTAATTAAGCAGCTGGAGGAAGAGGAATTAATTAATCTGAATTGATTTCCCCAAGCAGCAATTGATATCATGCATGATGCACTGATGCGTCTTTGATGACTCCAAGGTCCCTGTCCCTTGTTAGAAAATTTACTGCTTCCTTATATGAACACATAGTAAGGGAAGACGACGTCGAAAAGGCTCCCTGCTGTGGTACTGTAGCCGCTGTAGAGGCAGGCGCCGAAGGGCTCACCTGCCGGACTGTAGCCACATGCAGGGACAGGCGCAGAAGTTAGTCCTGCTGTGTTATCTAGTCACTGTTGCAGCAGGGCAGCTATACTAGGACTAGATAGATAGAGTTGTATATATAGTTTTCCACTGCAACTCAATAAAGAGAGTTCAGATTTGCCATCTACTATACATGGCTCCGGCCAACGCTGGTGCTTGTACTATGTGTGTATGCTCTGTTC